ATGTGGGATTTAAGGTTTTTGAGAATGGTTTTTATTTTTGGGTTGATGTTGATATTATGATGTGGGAGGGGTTTATAATGTTATGGGAGATTTGAAATGTGTGTATATATTTTGGTATATGAGTGATAATTGATAATGTTGTTATTGTATATTATGGTATATTTTGTTATTAGGAGTAGAGAGTTTAGAGGTTTTTTTTTGAAAAATATGTTTGGTTATATAAGGGATTGGTTTATTTTAATATATAGTTGGAAGTATTTATATAGGGGTTAGAGATGATTTTTTTTTTAAATATTTTTTTGTGTTTTTTGTATGTTTGTATTTGAGTGGATGAATTGGTGGTTAATAAGTATTGTTATGTTGTTGATGGAAGGAATGAGTTTATATAGTAAGTATTAAATGATATGTTGTAATTTTTTCTAAATTATATTTAAATGGATGTATTTTTTTTTATACTCTATATACTCATCTCTCACTATCACTATTTGTAGATATAGTGTGTATGTATTTATAAAATTAATTAGACAAGGAATGGTTAATAATAAAATTTAATATTAATTTTTATGGATGTGTTGAGGGGATTATTTATATTTGTTATTTTATTTATATCTTTTATATAATATATATGATTTTTTGTGTTATTGTATATAATAATATATTGAATTGTGTTTTATTTTATGTTTTTTTGTTTTTGTAGTGTAATTTGGGAATTGTAAATTTGTTGGTGTTATAGGTGTGGGTATTTTATGAGTTTGGGGTAGTTTGGTTGAATATGGGTGGTTTTAGAGGGGGGGGATATTTTGTGTTTTATTTGTGTTTGATGTGTATAATGTTTTTTTTAATGAATTTTGGGGAAATATTGGGTTGGGGTGGTTTTTTTGTATTATAATTATTTAAAGGGGGATTTGATGTGTGGGAGGGTGGGGTGGTTAAGGTGTAAGGAGTTGATTGTGGTTAGTGGGGTTAAGGGTTTGAGTGTGTTATTGAAAAGGGTAAGATTTATTGGGTGTGAGTTTTCAATAAGTATATTTATAGGTGCAGATTTATGTGGATATTTGGATAGGTTTTTTGAAATTTTTGTGTGGTATTGAGATAGAATGGGTTTGGTTGAAAAAATTGAAGGATTGGGTTAGAGGGGTTTAGGGTGAGTTGTTTATTTGCGTGTTTATTTTTTTATGTTTAGAATTTTAGTATAGTTATATTGTTAGATAAATATAGATTTGATTTTAGTTGGGAATGGTTTTTGTTTTTAATTGTTTTTTAGTTTTTAATTATTATATTGTTGTTAAGATTATAAAATATTATTATATAAGTTTATTTTAATTATATAGAAATAATTTATTTTTGATTTTTTCTCTTGAAAGATGATTATTTTGTGAAAAATTGTTTTTTTTAGGTTTATATATTTTAGAATGAAGATGGGGGTGGTTTTATTTAAAGTGGTGAGTAAAATATATTGTTTATATTTAGATATAGATATATTATTATTATATGTATTTTTTTTTATAGGTGGGATAGGGATTGTTGGTGTTTTGTAATAATTATTATTATATGTAAAGTTTTTATGATATGAATTTATTGATGGTTGTGATATTTTTTTTTTAATAAGGAAAATTTAGGGAAGTTTGAGTATGTTAGTTAAATGATTGTTGAAGTATTGTTGTTTTGTTTTGGATGAGTTTATTGTTTATTATATTTTTATTTTTTTTTTGGATGTTATTGATATTTTTTTTTTTTGGAATTTAGTTTTTATTTTATAATTTTGGTTATAGTTTTGTAATTTTTATGTTAAGGAAATTGTTTTGGATTAGATTTTTATATTTTGTAGAATTATATTGTTTATAGGGTGATTTAAATATATGTTAGATTTTTGAATATATTTAGTATTTTTATTTGATTTTTGGGATATGTGGGTTATAATTTTAAGAGTTGGGAACTTTATGAGATGTTTAAAGTGTATTTTTTATGTTTTTAATATTATTTTATATTGTTTTAAATATGTTGGTATGGGTTATATTATGATGGGTTGATAGTGGTTTTTTTGAGGTTTTTTATTATTTGTATTTTTTAAATTTTTTTGGATTTGTAGGAAAGGGTTAGTATTGTTAAGTTATTTTTTATGTATTTGTATATTGTTTGGTATTTTTATTTTTATAGTTGTTATAAATATTGGTTTTTTTTATTTTTAATGTTGATTATGTGATATTTTTAGTAAATAGTAAGATTTATATTTCAAAGTATTTTATATATATTTATTCTTTTAATATGAAATTGATTTATTGTATATTGAGAAGAGATTTTTGGTGGTAGTATTAGAGTTTGTATGTGTTGGTTGAAATGTTTTAAGTTTTTTTATGAGTTTTTTATTAATTATGGTGAATTTTTATAAATTTGAAATTTTTTTTGTTATTAATTTTTTTTTATTTAATTGTGTGAGAGAGAGTTGATAGGGCAAGTGCACTTAATACGAACGGAGTGTGGGTAAATAATGTAAATTTTTAATAAAAGTTTAAATTTTATTTAATAATTATTATATGTTTATTGTTTAGTTATGTTATTATTGAATATGTAAGTTATTATGAGGTTTTATTATAGTATGTTAGATTAAGGTTTTTAAGTATTGGTATATTTTTAATTATTAGTATTAGGAATACTATTTCAAAGTTTTTAATTCTTGGTTGGTGTGTTTTGATATGTTGTGTGATAGCTGAAGAGTTTAATAGAGTGCGCGCGAGTAGCGTAATTAATGATATAGGGGATTCTCTCTACTCACTCTCTAGGTAGAGCAAAGGGATGAAAATTAATGATATTAGAAATTTTATAAATTTAATAAGGTTATATAATAGATAAGTAATAATTAAATTATGTGTATTAATTGTATGAAGTTATGAAACTTTTTTATTGTGTTTTATTTTATATGTGATATTTACATGTTATGATATTTAATTATGTTATATAAAGAATTTGAGTTTGTAATTTTTGAAAAAATTTTTTATTTTTAATTAGATGATGAGATAAGGAATTTTTGATGATGTTTTTTTGTTTTGGATAGTGTGTTTAAGTTTTAAGATGAGTTGTTGTATATGTAATAAAAGTGTAAGTATTTAGAAATAATGTAATTGAGTGGTTTGTGTTTTTATTTGAAAATATTTTTGGGGGTATATTAATTGTAGGTTGTGAATGGAGATTGGTTTAATTAAATTGGAGGGGTAATATTTGAAAGTATTGGATATTTATGGTATTTATGTATAAAGTTTAATTGATGAATGGTAGGATAGATGGGTTAATAGAAGAAGGGTTTGGGAATTGGAGGTAGGTTTTTGTTTTGTTTTTAATATTTTGTTGTGTAATTTTTTTTATTGTTTTAGAAGTTGTTGTGAAGGGTTTTTAGGGGGTAGGTGGTATAGTGGTATAATGGGAAAATTTTTTTTTTTTTTTATTTTTTTGTTGGTAGGTGAAAATTGAAGTGTTTTTTTGGATATGTTTGATACAATATTTTTGGTGGATGATATTTTATTGTTGATTGTGGGTGTGGTGATTGTATTGGGGTAGATAGAGTGATTTGGAGAGTTGATGTTTGTTAATTATTGGTTTATATTATGGAAGTGTTTTATGAATTGAAATGTATTTTGATTTTAGTTTTTAATAATACTCTATATATCTTTTGTGTGTATATGTTTTAAATGTTTATATTATTGGGGTAGTGTTAATAAATGTAAAGGTTTTCTTATTATGTTTATTTTGTTTAGGGATTGAGACATTATTTGATTGTTTTGTTTGTGTTTTTTTTTTTTTGTTTTTATTTTGTATTATTTTTTTTGTTTTTATTTTTTTTTTTTTTTTTTTTTTTTTTTTTTGGTTTTTTTTTTTTTGTTTTTTGGGGTTGTTTTTTTTTTTTGTTTGTTTGTTTTTTTTTTATTGTTTGTTTTTTTTTTTATTTGGTTTATTCTTGTTTCTATAGACTGCGAGACAGAAATCGTCTTGAAGTTGGACAATGGTTTCAATGTTAAACTGAAAGTTACCAGATATTTCTGCTTTTTGCGCAATACATTAACCTCAATTTGTATGCATGGTATAATATTTACATCCATATGGTGAGAATTAAAACATTTTCAGCCACTCTAATGTAGCTCGTAGTACAGGAGATTACAAGAGTTGATATTTTTTTCTATTTATGCCTTTAACAGATGGTTTGACAGTGGGTGGAGTCGCAGTTGTAATGAATTGTATGACTTGGGGAACCGTGCAGACATTCGGGTTCCATGTGGTTGGGTATGCATGGTCTATGGTGCATGTTATTTTACTTACAAAATTTATTATTGCATTTTTGTTGGTGGTGTAAATACAGAGCTGAAAACAGCAAGTATCATTGCGAAAAGTAAATAGAGGGTTAATAAGATGATTATGGTGGTAAAAGGATTATGGAATGTGGGGGGGATTGGAGAGGGGATTAAGGAAAGTAATATATATCTCATATCATCTCTCATATTGATTTATTGATTGATTGATTTGGGGTTGGTTGTTTGAGATGGGATGTATTTTTGTGGTTTTATAATTGGGAGTGTGTAAGTGGTGGGTTTTTATTGAATTATGGAAATGAAAGTTTAAAATGAAAATAGTAAAAAATTTTAAATATGGGTGTTGGTTGTGTGTATTAATATGGAGTTTTAAGCGAGCGAGCGAGCGAGCGAGCGATGAGCGAGCGAGCGAGCGTGAGCGAGGGGTGTGTTGATGTGATGTTTTGTGGTGTTTTATTGTTTTTGGGTTTAGGGGAGGGGGGTGATGTGGGTTAGGAGGGTTGTTGAAATGAATTTGGGTAATTAGGGATAATGGTATTGTGGTAGAGGATGAATATGGGGTATTTATTGAAAAATGTGTTGTGGGGAAAATGTAAAAATAATGATATGTAGTATTATAATGTGTTAATGTGGTATGTGGGAAAGTGTATTAATAAGTAGGATATTGATGTAAATATTGTTTATGGATTATTATAGAGATGGATGTGTGTTGATGTGGTTGTTTTTGTGTTTGTGGGGTTTGGGTTGGAGTGGTGGTGGTGGGGTGGAGTTGTGGTGTTGGGGGGGGTGTGTTGTGGGTTTTTGGTGGGTGTTGTTGGGGTGTTGGGTGTGTGGTTGGGGGGGGTTGTTTGTTGGTTTTGGGGGTGGTGTTGGTTGTATTTGTTGTGTGGGGTGTTTATTTTTTGTTGGGTTGTTTGTGTGTTGTTTGGTTTTGGTGTTGTTTGTGGTTTTGGTTTGGGGGTGGGGGGTGGGTTGGTGGGGTTTTTGTGGTGTGGTGTGTTTTGGGGGGGTTGTTTTGTGGGGTTGGGTGTTGGGGGGTGTGGGGGGTGTGTTGGGGGGGGTTGGAGGGGGGGGGGGTGGTGTTGTGGTGTTTGGGGGGTTGGGGGGTTGGGGGTGGTGGGTGGGGTGGGGGTTTGGTTTGGGGGGGGGGGTGGGTTGGGGGGGGGTTGGGGGGGTGGTTGGGTGTGTGGTTGGTTTTGGGGGGGGTTGGGGGGGGTTGTTTGTTTTTGGTTGGGTTGGTGTTGTGTTGTGGGGGGGGGGGGGGGGGGGGGGGGTGGGGGGGGTGGGGGGGTTGGGGGGTTGGTTGGGTGGTGGGGTGTGGGGGGGTTGGTTGTGTGTGTTGGGGGTTTGGGGGGGGTGTGTGTGGGGTTGGGGGGGGGGGGGTGTTGGGGGGGGGGTAGTGTGGGGGGGGGTGGGTGTGTGGGTGGGGGGGTTTTGGTTTTGGGGGGGGGGGGGGGGGGGGGGGGGTGGGGGGGGGGTGTGTGTGTTGTGGTTGGGGTGGTGGGTTTGGGGGGGGTTGGGTGGGGGGGGGTGTTGGTTGTGGGTGGTGGGGTGTGGGGGGGGGTGTTGGTTGTGTGGGTGGGGGGTTTGGGGTGGGTTTGGGTGGGGTGGGGTTTGGGTTGGGGTGTTTTGGGGTGGGTTGGGGTGGTGGTGGGTGAGAGTGTGGGGGTTTGTGTTTGTGGGGGGGGGTTTGGGGGGTGGGGTTGGTGTTTGGGTGGTGGGGGGGGGGGGTTGGGGTGTGTTGGGTTGGGGGGGGGTGGGGGGGGGGGTTTGGGTGGTTTGGTGTGGTGTGTGGTGGTGGTGGGTGGTGTGGGGTTTGGGTTGGTGGTTGGGGTTGTTGTTGGGGTGTGTTTTTTTTGGGGGGGTTTGGGGGTGGGGGGGTTGGTGGGGTGTGTGGGGGGTGTGGGTTGGGTGGGGGGGGGGGGGGGGTGGGGGGTGGTTGGGGGGGGGGGGGGGGGGGTGGTGGGGGGGGGGGGTGGGGGGGGGGGGGGGTGTGGTTGGGGGGGGGGGGTTGGGGGGGGGGTTGGGTTTGGGGGTTTGTTTGGGTTGTTGTGTTTGGGGGGGGGGGGGGGTGGGGGGGGGGGGGGGGGGGTGGGTTGGGGGGGGGGGGGGGTGGTTTGGGGGGGTGTGGTGTTGGTTGGGTGGTGGTTGGGGGTTGGGTGGTGGGTGTGGGTGGGGGGTGTTGTGGGGGGTTTGGGGGGTGGGGGTGGTGGGTGGGGGGGGGGGGTGGGGGGGGGGTGGTGGTGGTGGGTGGTGTTTGTTTGGTTTGGTTTGGGGGGGGGGTTATGGGGGTTTGGATGTAGTGGTGATGGTGGGGTTGGGGGTGTGGGTGTGTGTGTGAGTGTGTAGAGTGAGAGATGTCGAGGATCGATGTGCTAGTATGATCTTTGTGTAGGGTGTGGGTATGGGTGGGGTAGTGGGGTGGTTTGTTTTTTGGGGGTATTGTATGTGGGATGTTGGTGTTTTGGGGTGGGGTAGGTTTTGTTTTGTGAGTTTTGGTGTGGTGTTGTGGTTTGGGTTTAGTGGTTGGTATTGGTTGTGGTTGGTGTTGGATGGTGGGTGTGTTGTTGGAGGTTGTTGGTGTATGGGTGGTTTGGGTGGGGTTTTGGTGGTGTTTTTTTTGGTTGTTGGGTGGTGTGGGTGGGGTGTTGGGTGGGGTGTTGTGGTTGTTGTGTTGTGGTGTTTTTTGGTTTTGGGGGTGGTGGGGGGTTGGGGGGTTGGGGGTGGGTGGTGTGTATTGTTTTGTGTTTTGTTTTTTGGATTTGGTTTGGTGTTGGTTGGTTTGTTGTGGTTTGGTTGGGGTGGTTGTAGTGATATATGGGTGGTGGTGTTGGTGTTTTTGTTGGGTGGTGTGGTGGTGTTGTTGTGTATAGATGATAGATAGTATAGAGAGGAGGTTGTTGTTTGTGGTGTTGGGGGTGTTGGTTTGTTGGGGTGTTGTGGGGTGTGGGGGGGGGTTTTGTGGGGTGTTTGTGTGGTTGTGTGGGGGTGTGTGGTTGGGGTTTGGTTGTGGTTGTGGGTGGGTGTGTATTGAGGGGGGGTTGGTTTTTTATGTGGTTAGATAGAGAGAGAGCGATATCGAGAGTTGATTGTTGTTTTGTTGGTTTTTGTTTAATTTTGAGTGGGGGTTGTTTTTGTATTTGGTTTTTGGTGTGTTTTTTTGTGTTTTGGGGTGATTGGGGGGTTGGGTGGGGGGTTGGGTGGTTTGTGTGTGGTGTTGGGTTGTGTTTTGGTTTTTGTGTTGTGGTTTTTTTGTTGTTTTGGTTTTTTGGTTTTGCGTTGTTTGTGGGGGAGTTGTGTTTGGGGTTTGGGTGGGTTAGGGGGTGTTTTTTTGTGGGTGTGGGGGTTTTTTTGGGTTGTGTGTTTGGGGGTGTTGTAGTGGGGGGTGGTTTTTGTTTTGGTTTTTTTGATTGGGGGGGGTTGTGTGGTGTTTTGGTTTTTTTGGTATTTATTGTTGTTGGTTTTGTTGTGGTATTTTGTATGGATGGTTGGGGGTTTTTTTTTTTTTTTTTGGTGTTTTGTGTTGTGGTTTTTTAGATGATATGTTATCTATATATATATATATCATCTTGAAAGAGTGGGTTGTTATGGTTGAGTGGGTTTGTTTTTTTTTTGTATGTGTGGTTTTAAAGAGAAGAGAGAAGTTATTTGAGGTTTTTGAGGAATGGTGGGGGGGGTGTTGATGGAAGGGGGATGGTATTGAAATTTTAGATGGATTTGGGGGGGTGTATGTTGTGTATATGTTGGGTTGTGGGGTAGGTTTATGTGGTGAGAATTTGATGTTTAGTTGGTAGGTTTGATGTGGGGTTGGATGGAGTTTTTGTTTTTTTGTTGTAGGATGGTGGATTAATATGTGTGAGTATGGGTAGATGGTTGTGAGTTTATTTTTTTTGGTTTTTTTATTGTGTTTGTTTGTGAAGGGGATATTAGTAAGTTATTTTTTAAGTTATTTTTAGGTGGTGTTGTGTATTTGGTTTGTTGGGGTTTGGGGGGTGTGGAGGAGTGTATGGTGTTTTTTTGGGTTTGGGTTGTTGGGGTTTTGTGTTTTGTTTTGGGTGTATGAGTGAGAAAGGTGTGTGGTTGGTGGGTTGGGTTTGTGGGGGGTGTGGTGTTGTTGTGGAGTGGTGTGTGGGTGGTTGTTTGTGGTGGGGTGTTGGTGTTTGGGGGTGTTGGGGTGGTGGGTGGGTGGTGTTTTTTTGGTTTTGGGTGAGAGTGTGTGTGGTGGGGGTGGGGGGTGGTTGTGGGGTTTTGGGGGGGGGGGGGATTTGGGGTTTTTGTTATGTGTGGGGTGGTGTTTGTGGTGGAGGGTTGGTTGGGTGGGTGTTTTTTGGGGGTTGTTTTTTTTTGGGGTTGTGGTGGGTTTGTGTTTTGGGGTTGGGTGTGGGTTTGTGTTGGGGTTGGGGTTGTTGATTGGTGGGTGGTGGTTGTGTGGTTTGGTTTTGGTGGTGTGGGTGGGGTGGTTTGTGGGGGTTGGGGGGTTTTTTGGTAGGGGGGGGTGGTTTGGTGGTTTTTTGTGTGTGGTTGTTGGGTGTTTATGTGTTTGGTTGGGGGTGGTTGTGTGGTTGGGTGTTTTGGGTTGTGGTGTGTGGGTTTTGGTGTGTTTTTTTGGTGGGGTGGGTGGTTGGTGTTTGGGGGGGGGTGTTGGGTATGGGTTTTGGGTGGGTTTTGTTGTGTGGGTTTGGGTGGGGGGTTTTTGGGGGTTTTGGGGTTTTTGGTTTTTTTTTGGGTGGGGGGGTGTGTTGTTTGTTGTTTGTTGTGTGGGTTTGGTTGGTGTGGTGTTTGTTGTGGTTTGTTTTGGTTTTTTGTTTGTGGTTGTTTTGTGGTGGGGTTGGTGGGTTGGGGGGTTGTTTGTTGTGGTGGGGGTGTTTTGGGGTGTGGGTTGGGTGGTGGGGGGTTGTTTGTTTGTGTTTTTGGTGGTGGTGTGTGTTTTTTTTATTTTATTGATGTTTGATTTTTTTTTTTTTTTTTGTGTTGTTTGGGTTTTGGTTTTGGGTTTGTGTGTTTGGTGGTTTTTTTTGGTTTAGGATTTTTTTTTGTTGGGTTTGTGGGGGTGGTGGGGTGGTGTTGTGTGGTGGTGGGTTGGGTTTTGGTGGGGTTGGGGTGTGTTGGTGTGTGGAGTGTGTGAGGGGGGGGTGGTTTTTGTGGGGGGTGGGGGGGTTTTGGTGTGGGGGGTGTTGTTTGGGGGGGGGGTGGGGGTGTTGTTTGGGGGGTTGGGTTTGTGGGGTTTGTGGGTGTGGTTTGTTTGTTGGTTTTGTTTGTTTTTTTGTTTTTGTGTAGAGAGTATGAAGTGGGTTGTTTGTATGTTTTTGTGTTTTTTGTTATTGGTTTTGGTTTGGAGGGGGTTTTTTTGTTGGGGGTGTTTGTTTGTTGTGTGGGTTGGTTTGTGGTTGTTGGTTGTTTATTTTTTGTTTTGGGTTTGTGGGGAGGGTTTGTTGTTTGTTGTTTTTTTTTTTTTTTGTGGGGTTTTTTGTGTGGGTTGGTGGTTTTGTTTTGTGGTATTTTGGGGGTTTTGGGATATTTTTTGTTTGGTTTGTTTGTGATTGGGTGGAATTATATATTGGTTTTTTGTGGGGGGGGGGGTTGTTTTTTGTTTTGGTTGGTGGTTGAAGATGATTGGGGTGGGTTGGGGGTTGGTGGTGTTTTGGTTGGTTGGGTGGGTGTTGGGGGTGGGTAGGTGGAGTTGTTTGTTGTGTGTTTTTGTGTTTTGGTATGTGTGGGTGTGTTTTTTGTGGTGTGTTTGTTGTGTTTTTGTTGGTATTGTGGGTGTTTTTTTTTGTGGTGTTTGGGGTTGTTTTTTTTTTTTGTGGGTTTGTTTTGTGTGGGGTTGTTGTTGTGTTTGTGGTTGTTTTTGTTGGTGGTGTTTTGTGTGGTTGGTATTGGGTTGGTTTTTTTTTTTTTTTTGTGGGGGTGTTTTGGTGTTTGTGGGGGTGGTTTGGGTTTGTGTGGTGTTGGGTTGAGTTTGTATTGGTGGGGTGGATGGAATGGGGGGAAGTTTAGTTGTGGAGCAGTCGTGCTCGTATGTAAGGTGTTTGAGGGTGTGAAGTTAAATGAGTGGTGGGATGATAATTTAAATATTTGATTGGAATTTATGAGGAGGAGTTTTATGATGTGATGTGGGGTGTGTTTATAGTGGGAGGGATGTGATTTGAGGGGGTGTTGGTGTTTGGGGGTTTGATAGGTTGGGGGTGGTGGATATGGTTATTAATGGGGAGTTTTTGGGGGTTATTGTATATGTAAGAATGTGGATTTTTTTGTAGGGTGGGGGTTGGGGGTTTAAGGTTTTATTTGATTTGATGGTTGGAGTTGATGGGGGGGGAGTTTTGGGGAAAATTGTTTTATAAAGGTTTGGGATATTGAGATAGTATAAGATAGTTGGATATTTGTGTTTGGTTTGTTTGTTATTTATTTGTTTTTAAGTTATGAGAGAGAGAGTAGAGAGTGAGAGAGAAGGATTGGTAATGTTTATTTTTAATATGAGGTTTTGGTTAATATTTTTTTTTAAAATTATAAATGGAGATGGGGAGGTTGATTTGTGGGATTGGTTGGGATGTAAGAGGGATTATTTTATGTTGGGAGGTTGAATTTGTGATTGTTGGGGGGTGATGAGATGGGGAGTTATTTGATTAATAGTGTTTTTGGTTTATTGGTATGGGTTGATGTTGTTGGTATTGGGTTGTTTTGGTTTTTTTGGGAGAAGAGGGGGTTTTTGGAATGTTTAAAGAATTGGATGATGTTTGAATAGATTGTTTGTAGGGGGGTATGGGAATTGGTGAATTTGAGTGATTTTTTTTGGGGATAGGGGGGGGTGGGAGTTTTTTTTTTGGGATATGGATGGGGGGGTTGGATGGTGAGATAATATAGATATATGATTTTTTTTGGGTTTTGGATGGGGGTGGTTGTTTTTTATATGGGGTGAGAATTAGTTATATATTTGAGAGTAAAGAAGTAAGTGTAAATTGGTGATTTAGAGGGTGTTTTGTTTATGGAGTTAGGGTGAAGATATATCTCTATCTCTATCAATATATCTATCTGGGGGGTGGGGATTTAAGTGTTTTGTTTTGGTTAGGTATTGTGGTGAATTGATAGAGGTTTTATTTTAAGATGGGGAGGATAGTTGTAATTTGTGTGTGGAGGGGTAAATGTTGTGGATGAAAATGTGTGGGTAGTGAAGAGAAGGGGATGGGTGATTGGTATTTGTATTTTTTGATGTTTTTTTTTAGGGAGGGAGTTATATTTATATTGGATGTTAGGGTAGGATGTAGCGTGTTGGAGAGAATTAATAGTATGGGGTTGTTTTGAATGATGATAGTAGGGAATTGTAATTTTGTAGTTAGGTGTTTATTAATTATATGTTATTATATATTGTGGATTCTATATATATCTATACTCTATATTCTCTTGTGATGTGGGGGGGGGTTTTTTGAGTGGGTGGGGGTGGGATATAAATCGAGATATTTCTCATTTTTTAGTAAGTTATTATATAGTATTATTTTAATGGTAGAGTTAGAGTATAGGTGGTAGTGAAGAATAAAGTTTAATTAAGAGAAGAAATGTGAGGGAGGGGAGAGGGAATTTTTAGATGGTAATGTATTGGTTTATTTAGTATTTGGTTAGGGGGGGTAGTGAATTGGGGATGAAAAAATAGATTTAGATAAGATAGAAGAGGGGAGAATAATTGGTGGGTTTGAATAATTGTAGGTTTGTAAAGATTTAGGTATTGTTTAATAGTAAGGAAATTTAATTAGAAAGTTGGAGTGAATGTTTTATGTTATTTAAGATTTGTTGTTATTGTAATATGAATTATTTGTGTAGAGAATTTGAAAATTTGTGGGTAATGATGTGTAAGGTTGTTAGGAATTATTTGGGTTGAGAGATAGAGTAGAGATATAGATGGGTGGTGTTAGGTGGGTGTTAATAGGGATATAATTGATATTTTGGTTATTGGGGGGGGGGGGTGGGTGGGGGTGGGATGGGAGAGATAAATATTTGTTGTAGAGGATGGTATTAATGAAGAAAGTGGGTATGGGGTGTGGAAATGAGAAGGAATTGGTAGGATTTTTTTTTAGTGGATAGGATGATATTAGGAGATATTAGATGGAAGAATGGGTTTTGGTTTGGTGTTGGTAGTAGGATGATGTTATTTTATATGGGTTTGTTTAGTGTTTGGTGTTTTGGTGTTGTTTGTGGTTTGTGTTGGTTGTTTAGGTTGGTGGTTGAGTGTTTGTGGTGTGTTTAATTTTATTTGGTGTGTTGGTTGATATATGATGGGGTGTTGAGTGATATGGTATAATGGGTTTTGTTTTGTTTGATGTTGAATTGGTGTGAATGGGATTGGGTAAGGTGGGGTGTAGTATTTAGATATATTTGATATTTAAATTAAAAATTTGGTATGTGGTGATTAGTTGTTATTGTGTGTTGTAGTGGTGTTATTTGAATATATGACGTCTGCTCTCTATCTGTCTATATGATTTTGTTGTTTAATTGGGTTGTTTTTTTTAAGTTTTTTAATGAAATTGGTAATTGAGTATGATTTTAGGTGTTTTAGTTTGGTTAGAGTATGTATGGATTGATTTAGTTTTATGTATTTGGGTGAATAGTATAGTAAAGACTATACAATGATGAGCGTGTGAGGTAGGTTTGTTATGATAAAATTTAATGGTTATTGAAATTGGTATTTTATATAGGGGGAGTGTTAATTGAGTTGTAAAAGATATATAGAATTGATATTTATGTGTGTTTTATTTTTAGTGGATTTTGGTATATGTGTTTGTGGTTTTGTTTTTGAGTGTGCGAGTGTGAGAGAGAGATCTCTCTCTAATATCTATCTCTCATCTTGTAGGGAAGGTAAAAGGGTTGATATGGGTTGGTAAATAAGTAATTTTATTTTTAAAATAATTTTTTTTTATTATTTTATTGTATTGAAATATATTTATGTGGTGTAGGGTGAATTTTAGAAAGAATTGATGTTAGATGAATTTTGAGAAATAAGAGAGTTAAGTGATTGGTTTATAAGTGAAGTGATTATTATTTGTATAATATTTTATATGGGTGGAGTTTATATGTGTATATGATATATAATATATATTTGTAATATATCTCTCTCCTTCTCTCTACTCTCTATCTATAGGTGAGAATAATTTGAAAGAGGTATGATTGTAAATAATTTTGTGAAAAATTTAATTTTATGGGGGATTATGTGGTTTTGTGGTGTGTATATGGTTTGTAAATGTTTGGGGTTTGTTTTAGTTTTATTTTATTGTTGTATGTTTGTAATTATTTGATGATTTTATTGTGTAGTTTGAGTGGGGTTGTTTGGGGAGGGGTTGATATTTGGAGGAAATTTTTATTAATATAGGGGAAGTATGTAGATTGGGGGATTATAGAGGGGTAATGGATGGGTTAGTGAGTATAATAAGATAAGAGAAATAGTGAGAGGAGGGGAAATATTGTATATGTTAATATAATGGAGGGGGTGATAAAGTATTATAAGAAAGAGGGGGAGGATATATTTGGGGATAGGAGTGGGTTATATTGAATTATTTATGTGTGGTGTAATAGAAGAGATGAAGTTTTGATATGGGTGAAAATTATAGAATTGGGTTGGGAAAGTAAGGGGGTTTAAGGTATGAGAAAAGGGATATGAATGTGTATTTGGGTAGGAAATATGGTAATTGTGTATATAGTATAGAATGGGAGAAGTATATGAGGAATTGGGTGGAAGGGGTTTATAATGGGGGTTTAAGGTTTGAAGTGATTTTTAGGGGAGAGTAGATTAATGATTTTAGTGGGGGTTATGATGAATGAAATTGGGTTTTAGGGGTAATTTAGAATTGATATAGAGGGGTTGTTGAGATTTGATATTGTTTTAAGAAGTTGAGGGGGGTATAGTAGTATGGGTGGAAATATGAGTTTATATATTTTTGTGGGGGTGATGGGGTTTGTTATGAAATTAAAAAATGAGAGAGAAAAGATTATATTAATTATGTAGGGTGGATAATGGTGAATGAGTAAGTTGAAAGAAAGAGGAGGAATTTTTTTTATGTATTTGTATTTTTAGGATTTTAAAAAATAGGAAAGTATTAATATTAATATAGTATGAGGGTGTTTTAAGAAGAAAAGGGGATTGATGGGGTTGGAGGGGTTGGGGTTTTTTGAGTTGGAGAAGAGGTGAGGGAGATTGGGGGAGGTGAAGTGTTATGGAAAAAAAGAAGATGTAAGAAATATTATAAGTTAATAAAATTTGATTATTAATATATAGTTTGGATGAGAGGGAATATAGTAAAATAAAGGTTTATGAGAATGTGAGATGGATGAAATTTTAGGATGTGGGGGTTTTATAAAATTTATAAAGGGGGTGTTGCTTTTGGTGTTGTATGTTGGTTGTATTGATTGCTTTTTGGTATACTGGTGTGTTTTACTCTATCTTGGGTATTTAGTTTTTATGTTGTTTACTATTTGTTAATTATTATTGTATCGTACCCTTTTACTATTGGTTATTATCAAATATTAGGAGCAGCCATTTTTCTTTTTATTGTCACTTTTTATTGTTCTACTTTCTATTGTAATATTGTATTGTGTTTGGTCTCCTAGTGTTTCCTCTGGCGGAGCCCTCTGCATCTAGAGCTGGGGTTCTGCTGGGGCTTCGGGTCTGGCTCTTGGATCCGGTGGGTGTCCTCGGGCCTCCTCTCTCCCTCTGGGTCCTATGTGGTCTGAGGTCCTGGGCCTGTGGGGTTCGGGGGCCCCCTCTCTCCTCTGTGCTTGTGTCGTTCCCTTGGGCCCTGCACCGTCTCTTCTGCTCCTGGGCAGATGGCGCCTTGGTTGCGGCGGGCTACAGGGATGGCTGGCCGTGTGTTAACAGTCGGCTCGCCGAGCCCCATTGTCTTTATGTGGTGTGGGAGTTGGGGGGGGGGGGGGGGGTGGTTTACCTATTGTAAACCTGATATTGGTACGGTTATAGCTGGGGGGGTGGTGATGGGGTGGGTGGAAGTGCTGAGGGGGTGTGTAGGTGTATCTGCGCATCCTCATCTCTATATCTCTCACTTCGACTGGGAGCGCGAGAGAGAGAGCGCGAGGGAGGATGTATGGAATGTTTGGGGGGGGTACTGGGGGGTAGGAGGGTTTAGGGGGTTCTTGGTGGCATTGGTGTGGATTGTTTTTTAAGCTAAACTGTGTAAAGCTATTTTGTGACAATTGTGGGGGTTGGGGAATAGGAGATTGTTTAATTATATATATTTGGGTGTAGTAGTTTGTATTGGGATTTGGGGTGTTGATTGGATTGTATAATTAAAAAATAATGTTAATTGGTG